TACACGACTCTGAGTCTGTGGGTGCGATGTCCCAGCACTGCCGGGCCCTGGCAGATGGGCTGCACCAACCGCGCAGCATCCTTCCTCTCCATTGCATCCCCCCCCAGAGGCATCCCCATCTCCCAGTGCTTGGAGGGATGGTTCCCAGCATGCTCCTGAACAACGAGCTTTTCTCCTGTGTCTTCTCCTGACCACTGTGCTTAGCTGCAGTACCCCACATATTACTGGTGGGCCAGCTCATTCCTCTGGGCTCAGAATTGTTCCCATGACATGGGATTTAAAACCAGAGTTCAAAGTGAGTTCATGCACGCTCTGCTTCACCCTTTAAATTTGCCTCTCAAACATATTCAGAACTGGAAATTAAAGGGCAATTATGAAGCAATTATTTTCCAGAGCTTTTCAAGGCTATGTTTTATTTGACTCTTCCTGCCGTTTCTGTTGCTTTAGGGTAATGCTCAGGTCCCTGCTCTTGGGCAGCCCGTTAACAAGCTGTCTGCACCAAGCCATGGACTCCACCATGAAGAACTGGTGCCCTACGCCCCACTCGTGGCCTGGCTGAGGAACGCCAACCCAGTTCTGTTCTGTGATCTCCCCAAGGTACGGCTGAAATCCTGAACAAATATTGCAAACCATCCACCAGGAACAGATTAGTCAAACTGGTCAATTCGTGATGAGAGCTTGGTTTGACCAAACCCATACCACCCACGAGCTTCCAGCATTTGGCCCTTCTAGGAGAGTGTCTGGCCAACTTGGCCACATGATGTTGGACCTCTATGCTTGGCAGAAAGCAGTCTGGGACTCGGTGGCAGACATTATGTTGAAGGAAAACGTCTGAAATGCTAGAATTCGGTCTTTTTCTTTCATCTGGCCATTTCTCTGCTGAATGACAATGATAAGCATTAAATGAATGTGGTTAATCTTGTGCTTTATTCAACAATGCTTTATTTAAGGGGTTCTACGGAAGGGGCATCTTAAAGTCCTTGGCCTCTTCTGTTAATAGGGATGTTGTTAAGTAACGGAGATGGTTCTTTTTATATCACTGAGGCTTGGTTTTTATTTTTCATGCTGGTTTTTTTGCCTTTCTGAAGGTCTTGCACACCAAAACCAACAGGTCTGTTTCAGTTGCAATCTACTGACTTTTAAGTGGGCAGCTGAAGAAAAAGCTATGAAATGGGCACTGTTCATAGAGAGATGAGATACACCAGGAATTTCTGTGTCTGTCTTGACTTTCCAGGTCTATGCCCAGAACCTCAGAAGACTCTATGACCGGGAAATCAAAGCCTTTTTTGAACAAGCCAAAACCTTCTTGTTAGGAAGAAGAAAAGGAAGTGAGTGATTTGCAAATATGACTTTTGTGCTGCTGAGAAGTGATTTATTTGCAAGTAGGGAATACGGCAATCGTCCTCTATCACAGGTGTCTTCCCCAGGTTTTATGCCATGAATTTACTTTCTCCTCCATGGACCGGGTCTGCAGCTGGCAGCACCTGACAAAGTTGACCCTGCTTTCCACCAGGCAGGGTTTGTGTGAGCCTTGGCCCCGTGTATTGTCCGGTTTTGCTTAGCTGCTTCTCAGAGCTGTAGCTTTCGTGCGCCTTCCCTTTGCAGGACTTACAAATGATGCATGGGTGGCTGAGATCGTGTCCTGAGGAGCCGTAAGAGAGGGGGACGTGGGACTGCCGGGCTAATGCCTGGTCCATATTTCATGCAAGCAGAGCTGGTCACGGACTCCTCAGACACTCTTTTCCCTGTAGAGAGATGTCACCAAGCCTGTCCCTGAAGACACGAGTGTATTCATAGCAATATTTGTGAGAGCAGAGTGATTTCATAGTGAGCTGACTGTGGGGCTGTGTTGTCCCAAGGTGATAATTTCAACAGGAATCGCTGCATCTGACTCAAAATATTCCAGTCAGGTGTTTCTGAAGATAAAAAGAGAAACTGATCTGTCTCCTCGGGAAGTTTTTGATTGCACAGAAGTCACATTTTCCTTCAGCAAAACAAAGCACTGTAATGGAAAGTTCCATGCCAGCTTGGCCCCGCTTGAATGTCAAAAACCACTTCGCATGGTGTGTTTAGTCTATCAGAATGCTAGCTCGGCTTCTTCCAGCTCTGCACCTACTTCATCACTTGTGTCCAGATCCCGGAGCCAGAGGACGAAGCCTGGGGAAGGAAACGGGGCTGGTGGCTCCTGGCGAAGGGCTCTGCCTCCCTGCAGTTGCTGGAGCGATGACGCCGATAGCCCCTGTCCAGCTGACACAACTGCCTTGATATTTGCCCATCCTTTGTCTTCTGGGGTGAAGTCCATGCCGTTCTTGTGGGGTACAAGGGACAGTTCGGGAGCCCAGGCCATGGGCAGCTGGAAGGAGCTACCCTGAAGCTCACCAGGCTGCAGGATCAGACCATAGCACATGATTTCCACCTCTGTAGCCCTCCAGGACCCTTTCCCTCGGTTTCAGAACTGGCCATAAAGGGAAGAGCTAATATCTGGGTGGTCTGCTGTAATCTCCTCCCTGCTCTGTGGATCTGTGAAGAACCTGGTGAGTCTCAAGCAGGGACAGAGAGAGCCTGTGCGAGCAGCAACTTGCACAAGAGTGGGAATAGGACAGTGCTTCTCCTGGCAGCTCTTCCCATGCTGGGGTAACAGAAGCAGCTTCCTCCGCATCCCAAGTTTTGTGGGTGGCCCTGCATCCCTCTGGCTGGGAGCACGCAGCTCCCGTTTTTGGGTGTGCATCACATCAACATACCCACCACCCCTTCCAGCTCCTCCCTGCCCAGTGCCAGTTCCCCTGGCAAGGACACTCAGCCACACACATACCAGGAAAACAGGAGACCTCAAAACCACCGGACCAAACCAGGATGGGCAGTGCTGGCAGTGTACACGTACCTGCAGCGGAGCACGCAAGTCCTGAAAAGAAAGAAGGAAAATTTCCCTTAAACAGTTTTTGCCACTGGAAAGAAGAGGAGGGGAAAAGGAAAAACACTTGGGCTTTTTTTCCCCACTACTTGTCATTTTCAAAAATTTATCCCCTTTGAAGGAAGAAAGAGACAGTAGAAGCTCGGGTACTAATCCTTAATTAAAATGTTTCCTTTTTGAAATTTTGCTAGAAATGGAGAAAGCTAACACCTCCAGGAAATATTTTTATAGTCACCAGAAACCTGTTTTTCCTTGCCAGAATGATTTGCCAAACTATGGAGCCAAGAGAAGGAAAAATGGGGATCAAAATCTCTCTGCTAGTTTCAGCAGAAAAGCAGTGACATGACAAAAAGGATCAAAAAATAATTAGTGACATGATAAAAAGGGTCAAAAAATAA